GCTGGCTTTCCTCATTACCAGCTGAGCAACTCCTACTTTAGAAAAAAGATGATGATGATCACCATCATAAAAACAAAACAAGGAGATGTATAACTATCTCTTCTCTCATGCTTAATAAAACACTTCTTTTCTGCTCCCAGAATGATTATTTTTCTTTCTCACACTCCATCCTACAGCCCCCACCCACCTTTATTGATATTCTCCCATTTCTTTCCACAACTACAAAGTCCTGCTAAGATCAAAGTCCTCGTGACCCTGTGAGCTTGCACGGCCTTTTTGTTTTGACACTGGATGATGACCAGCTGAAACATATTAAGAAACATGTAATGGAAACACATTTCATTACTGTTGCAATTCAGAATGTTAATAGAATACCAGAATAAACCTGGTGTTGATTGGCTGATACCCAATGATGGAACTTTGCTCAGGCAGATTCATTATTTTCATGACAATTGTTTTACTTTTCTTCCTTCACTGATCTTTCTTTTTTCAAGGTTCAGAATATCACCAACCCAGAGCTGAAGAACTTTGAGGATCTTTTGAGTTTATTATCACTTGATTATCAAAAATCACTTGTCTAGCTTGGGGAAGAGAGCAGTTTGTCCCATCAATTGCTGAATCACATAAACTGCCATTTTGTTCCAAACTAATGCAAGGTGTTTATAGTCATATTTCTAACCCTATATAATTTAGGACCTAGATATACAAAAGATTGCTTGAAGGTGTCACATTTATGGAGAAAGTATCGAAAGAGGGCAGTCTCGGTATAGGTGCTGTGGTTGTGGACTTCCTTCCCCGTTCAGTTATGGCTAATGACAAACCTCATACATGTTTGTAGCTATCTGCAAGATTTTTAACTGAATCGTGTTTAATATTTTTCATAGCCTTGAATTTTATTTTTATGAGGTAAAATTGGTCAGTTTTGGCATTTGGATCAGCATGCCACAAACCCAATCACAACCTCATTTTATCTCAACCATGCTCAAACTATTTTATGCAAGTTAGGTTTTTTAAAATTTAGAAACCTTGCAAGCTAGCATACTGTAACCCACATTCCACCAATCAGGAAGGATGTGCAACAATCCTCCAAATCATAAATTGTATCAATAATGTAATTTTAAAAATCTTTCATCTTTGTATTAGTAGTATTAGACACATCCAAAATAAGACAGCTTCCAACTCAGGCACCAGATCTGGTGTACAGACGATTGTCTTTTATGTCACCACATCAGTAGATCTTTGTTGATGTGGTTTGCGCCTATTAGAATCACATACAGGCTAAGTATGGTAACTTAGTTGTGAAGTAACCTAAATGAAACCACATGATAATTTATTATTTAAATATTGATTTATATGCCATTTTGGGGGAGGTATTCGTGTTACTGTTTCTTTACATCAAAAGTAGGAAGTTGAATTTTGGCCATGGGCTAAATTGTTCCAGATCCATCTCCAGGGGCTGACTGAAACAGTAACATTCAGATTTGGAGGAAGTATCTCAGGTCTAGAAAGAAGGCAATGGTCATCCACTTTTGAAAATCGTTGCCAAGAAAACCGAAGGAAACAGTCCAGACAATTGCTAAGAATCAAAACTAATCTGAAGGCCCCAAAAAGAAACAAACAAACCTGGTTGGTTATCCTTACAATAGCAGAAATCTTTATGCATTTACACAGTCCTGTCTTACCTTCATTCAGAAAATAGCAACTAGATGACCTTGGCTTATCTTGCAATTGCTAAGCAAATTAGTATACTATATATCCAATCTAGGAGGCTGAAAAAATGTCCTGAAGGAAGGCAATGGCAACCACTTTTATGTTGTTATTGCCAGGAAAACAAGATGGATTGTTACAAATAATGCAATCCCAGCAAAAAGTTCCATTCTTAATTTAATACAGGAAGCTGACACAAGAGATCTGCATGCATATATTTGCATGTCTATCTCTTTCATTGCTGACATACCAATCATTGCTTCACTGAATCCAGCCACCAAACATAAAATCACTATAAGATGGCAATCCTGCATCATTTATACAATATTTTTTTTAAAAGTTGAATGTATCGTCATAATTTATTTATGGCGACACAAAGTCATTCTAATAATTAGCCTTGATAGTACAGTGGTCTACGCACCCTTATTAACACAGCTGCCTGCAATTTACTGCTGGTTCAAATCTCTCCAAGGCTCAAGGTTGACTCAGCCTTCCATCCTTTCTAAGGTAGGTGAAATGAGGACCCAGTTTGTGGGGGCAATAAGCTGACTTTGTATAAATATACAAAAGTATGAAGGCTATTGCTTAACGTATTGTAAGCTGCCCTGAGTCTCCGGAGAAGGGCGGCATATAAATCAAATTAAAAAAAAAAATTACTCTCCTGGTTTTGCTCATCAAATTAGGGAAGAGTCCAATGAGCATAAAAATTACAGAGCAAAGAATAATAAAATATTATTATTTTATCTGATTTCTAAAACAAATGCAGTATGAAAACAAGCGTGGGTGTCAGCAGAGGATGGTAAACAGTTTGAAATGGAAGATACAACCTGAAAAGCCAGCCAACACCCATATTTTATATCCGTGTGATATATGTGCAAGAAATGTTAAAAAGGAATGGGGCTTCAATCACTAATCATGGTGTCCACCATTAGTATTTCCTCTGTATAGAATAGCTTCTTCTGTAGAACACACCATTGTAATATCTATTAATATAATTTATCTATCATTATCATCACCATCTCCTTTATCTAACATCTTGTTGAGAGTTTCTTTCTTTTTAGCTACTAGTTAGGAGCAGCAGCTCAGCTGCCTCTTTATCTCAAAAAGATGTCATCTGAGACCCTCTCTTCAGCATATGAGTTTCATCCTGTAACAGTAGGCAAATTTACTGCATATGTACATGTAAAAAAAGAGAGAGGAAATGAGCTGAATAGTAAAAGACAACACATTTCAAAACAGCACAGGCAGTGTGAGCTCTGAGCCATGCCTCAAACTTTGTGATTACTTTAGAAAACACAATCTGAGAATCATAAAAATGCATAAAGTACCGTTAGCTGACATGTTTATTTATATAGATATACATACCGAGGAGACAGATACAATGCAAATGGATGCAAAAATAAAAAGCCAAAAAGCTTGAAAGAGACTATGGTCTCTAGTTGAGATATATCATATTCAGAGTGGATAGATTGCGCTAAAAATGTATTGTGCTAAAATATGAAGAAAGGATGCCCTTTACTCTATATATCTAACAATTTTGTTGAGATGCAAATAGAGCTTATATAGATTCAGTTGCAAAAAAGGAAAATAGGAAGAAAAAAAAAGCAAAATATGAAAAGTATGCCCTCAACAGATATTGGGTGAGATTTTTCTAGGCAGACACTTAGAGTCAAGGGCCACATGATGCCAGAGGCTGCACACCAAAATAATATAGATTGACAACAGAAAACTAATTATGTTACTTTTAAAGTATTATGTTTATACCTTTTCAGTCAATTAAAAATTAAAACTTGGTAGCATTTGGAGATAAGCTTTGATTGGTACTCCAGCTACAATGGAAACTAACCATTGTTATGTACCATATTTTCCGGTGTATAAGACGACTGGGTGTATAAGACGACCCCCGACTTTTCCTGTTAAAATATAGGGTTTGGTCTATACTCGCCGTATAAGACTACCCCTCTTCCAAAGCACACCAAATAAAAATTAAAAAACATCAACTGGCTCACCCACAATGTAAAAGCAGCTGTGCTAGACCCAAAATGGCCCCTGCAACAAGCAGGAACCTCACACAGCCACAAAAAGCCCAAAAAAACAACTTTCACACTTTACACACACAAAATTCCACATACAGCTTTGTGAGATTTTGTGTGTTTGTGTAGTCAGAGTGAAACACTACAGAAACACACTAAATCTCAGAAAGCTGCACAAATATTATTTTATTTTATTTTTATATGAAAACTAAATTTAAAACTTCCTAAACTTTAAATGGCTAGGTCTAAAAAAGAACAATTAAAAAAAAACCCCAATTAACTATTTTTTTAAAGCTCCTGTCGAGCTCCTGTAGAGGAAATCTCGAGGACGAGATTTCCTCTAAGGACGAAGATTTCCTCTAATCTTAGAGGAGTCCAATTTACGGCTAAGTTCTGGAGAGGATTCCTCCATGACATAGGAGCAACACAAGGTTTGAGTTCCGCTTACCACCCGAGTACGAACGGGGCTGCGGAACGGGCCAATGCCATGGTGGAACGTTATCTGCGGTCCTATATCTCATACCAACAAAACGACTGGGTGGACTACTTACCCTTCGCCGAAACAGCATACATTAACGCTGTACATCGCAGTACCGGGTATACTCCCTTCCAGATTGTCATGGGACGAGATTTCCCAGCTACCCCTGAACTAGATCTCCACCCTCCGAAACCCACCACTCCAAACGGGTGGTCCTGCAACCTGCAGAAAGTGTGGCCTTTAGTAAAGGAAGCTCTGAGAAAGGCGTCCGATGAATATAAAACCCATACGGACAAAAAACGAACCGCCTGTCCACCGTTTCAGATCGGGGACCAAGTGTACCTTTCTACAAAGTATCTAAAATTGCGATTACCAAGTAAAAAATTAGGGCCCAAATACATAGGCCCCTTTCCCATCATAAAGGTGATAAATCCGGTTACATTTATGTTGAAATTACCTTCTTTACTGGGGAAAATCCATCCTATATTCCATTCTAGCCTATTGAAGCCGGCTGTCATAGCCTCCGACCCATTGTACAAAACCCCAGGTCCAGTAACGGGGTCCCACTACGAAATTAGAGACATTGTTGACTCTCGGCACCATAGGGGCCAGCTGCAATACCTAGTAAAGTGGACAGGATACCCAGATACAGAGTCCTCATGGGTTCCAGTGGGTGATATAAATGCCCCACGACTCATAAGACGATTCCACAAAAACAATCCCCATAAAGTACGCCACAAATGAGATTACTAACGGATATTTCTCCTCTTCTTTCCCCACAGGCAGACACCTGGTAGGGGGAGCCGCATGTCGAGCGGCACGAAGCGCTCGACACCAACCGCTGCAACGCACTCGAGTCCAACCGCTGCAGCCTGAGTGGCGCGCTCGATGGGGGGGGTGGACATGGGCCACTGGGTGCTGGTGGAGGGGTTAGTGTAACGGCTAGGCGTTCCTGTGCACGGGGGTTTTGATGGGGACGCGTGGGCATAGAGGAATATCTGCAAACAACACGGCTCCGGCAAAACCCGAGATGGATGACGTCATCCCTGCGCGGCCGGAATGACAGCTGCGGGAACTTTGAATCTCCCCAGCTGGGAGCACTCGGCACTCGCTCTATAAAAGGACACTATTACAAGCTCCCAGCAGCCGCGTCTTTGTATTGTTTGCAATCCGGTTTCCACCGAGAGCTGTTGTTGCCGATTAAACCAAGATACTCCGATTCCGGGTCGAGCGTGTTTCTTGTGCATCAGCAATCCAGGGTCCGGGGAGGCCGAGAGCTCCCAAAGGGGAAAAAACTTACCCAATAGATCAGGGATCTCCAACCTTGGCAACTTTAAGACTTGTAGACTTCAACTCCCAGAATTCCTCAGCCAGCTTTGTTTTGCTGGCTGAGGAATTCTGGGAGTTGAGGTCCACAACTCCCTGCCTGCTTGATTGCAGGCAGGGAGTTGCTTGCTGATGGAATGGATTCAGGCAAGCGAAGCAAGGCAAGCGTTGCGACTAGCAGCTAAGGTAAGCAAGCTGGAGGGGGAAAACTTTTTTCCTTTTACATGGCTCTGGCAATCCCAGCTGAGTTGCCTGATTAGCAGGCAAAGCTGGGATCATCAGAGCTTGGATCGCCAGAGCCATTTAAGGCTCGTCAGAGCCTTTTGGGCTGGTCTGCCTGGTTACAGGAGAATGACACCCGGCGTATAAGATGACCCCTGACTTTTGAGAAGATTTTCATGTGTTAAAAAGTCGTCTTATGCGCCAGAAAATATAGTATGTACAGATACATAACGTATTATGTACTTAAGCAACGATGGACTTTGTCTTTCCTTTCTGGTCTAATGGCATTTGTAAGCCAAGGCAATTGAACTCAAGATCACCAAAGGCTATCATACTTTGGCCATTGTCATATAAGCTGAAAAATCAATCATGCTGGGAGAGATCAGTGGAAAAAGAAGAAGGGACTTCCCTAGTACCTATTGGCTGGCATTATAAAGGATGATACCAGATGAGCATGGAGGATCTGAAGGATGTATTGCAAGGCAGAGGGGCATGGAGAGTATTGACACATAGAATGGCCAGAGGTTGGGCATGACTGAATGGCTGTTGATGATGAGAGCAATTGTAAGCCACAATTAAATATCAATCTGTTCCCTTGGAGAAAAGTATTGGAGTGCCTCCAATTCATAAACGGCAAAGCACACTATGAGGATCTTTGAAGTACACATGGGCAAGCTATGTTTTCAAGGCTGCATGTTGGTTGCAAACATTCATTCCTTAGGGAACACCTCCTCTTTTTCCAATCATAAAGTGTATAGTTTATCAAGAAGATCAATTCGCTTGTATTAAAGAATTCTTTCTCAATGACCCTTTCAAAATTACTGTACTGAGAGCAGACCTTGGCTTCTCCCTGTCTCCCAGTGAACCTGCTCAAAATTACTGATGATCCACAGTACAGAATAAGCAACCTTCAAGCAAGGCTGCTGGAAGGAAGAATGAAATCTTATTGCTTTCCTCTCCCTCCTAATGATCTGCTGGAAGGAAGAGGATGAAATAATGTATTTACATATGTAAGAACATCCCCATCTCTATTAAGCAATCCAAGCTTTGGCACCAAAAATATTGCCCAAGCAAGATAAAACCTGGTTTGGGTTATGTTTGACTTTTGCTGACTATATGGATACATCTCTGTAGTTTTCTTGGCAACACCACGCAAATGGTTTGCCATTGCTATCTTCCATTCCAGGATGTTAAAACACACATACACAAACAACTGTCCCCTACCACACACCCCATGCAATCTATAGCCTTTCCTGGCAGTTTTCCATCCAAATACTAATCAGTTCTGACCCTCCTTATTTATTTATTTTTTAAAGATTAGCCAAGATGGCTGGATGCTGCTAGCTGGTGTAACCAAAAATGTTGTCTACATTACGGTCTGTTGAGGTTGTATAGCTGCCAATATCTTCCTGACAGTTGCAGTAGCCCCCTTAGAAATGGAGGACAAAGGAAACTGGGCCTATTATAGCTTCATTGGAGAAAGTTCTTATGGATTGACAACAGCTGTGGGAATCAGATAAGGATTACAGCAATGGGTATTTGACAGTATATCATCAGAGGGCACTAGAGTGCTTAGCACAGCTTTTGCTTGAGCAAATGTACCAGACTATTCCACAGTTGTGGGCCCAAGACATCTGAAGTATACAGCTACAAGAATTCTACTGTATTGTAGATGTATTATTTAAGTGTGGAAAATGCAGTGCTGAGATTGATCAGAATTTAGTCAAAAGTTATTATACAACATATAGATGTTTTTTTTTTAGCCGTAGGGCCATCACTTATTTTAGCCTTGCTGAAGAGTCCTATATCTGTTACTTTATTGGTATTTTGCTGTTTTTCTGCACTAATATTATTTAAATTATATTATTTAATATTATTTAATATTATTTAAATTATAAGCTTTCCTGAGAGCATGTGAGATGCAGAAGGACACAAACATATTTTTCTCAGAGTCAATCATTAGTTATAAATGAATTTTAACAGGGCAGATTTTGTTATCGTACAACACATGAAACTGTCCTGTTGAATACAAAGAGCAGAGGTCTTCAAAGTTGGCCGCTTTAAGACTTGTGGACTTCAACTCCCAGAATTCTGGGAGTTGAAGTCCACAAGTCTTAAAGCGGCCAACTTTGAAGACCTCTGACAAAGAGCATGTGGGTTGCCTGAATTGCTGGATCTATTAGATCCTTTCCCACCATTCCATCTGCATCTCATCTCTAGATGTACCATTCCTAAAGTCAACGCCCTGGCAACAAAATCCATGATGCTGAGCCACATATAAATCTATTCAATTCTACTCAGAAAAAGAATCAAAACTCCCCAACTACCACAAATAACTTTCTGAGCCAATCTGCCACATAGATAGTCACTTAAAAGCACACTTCTTTCATTTTCCAGGATTAACAATTAGTTAATTGTATTCTGGCTCCAACTTGCCTGGAGCAAAATAAATCTAGGGAGCTACTATTCAGAAAATGTCAGTGATATGTTTGTCTTGTTAAGTTAATATTTCCTTTCTACAATTACTAATTCAATTTTAAATGCTCACGGAGAGGGGAAGTGTTATGAAGCATGTTGAGTGGGCACTTATGTAAGCTAAAGAAAGGTTTTTTAAAGATTTTTTTAAAAAAAGAATTACTGCAATTTGTATGCTGTTGCTAGGAGTTAAAAATGACTTGATGACATGTAATTGATCAATTAATTACAAGCATGGGTTCTAATACATTTGAACTGTTTAATCATTTTTTAAATGTATGTTTGTAGTTCTACTTTACTAGTACATGCCTGTGTGCATGCACATATATAATACACAACAGGAAATTGAATTTCTGGTTTTCAGATAATGATTTCCCTAATTGCTAAAAATCAATTCCCCCCCCCCTTTGTTCTTTGTTGAGATTCTTTGAAGGTCTGAAGGAGGACTAATAACTTCTTAATGCTTTTCATGTTATTCCAGTTCTAGCTCTCTTCCATTTCCAGAGGAGAGAAAACCATTGATGGTTTCTATAACAAATGTTGTCTAGTGCCAAATACTTTTGTAGTGCTGGTTTTACTGTTGTTGCAAGACATTTAGTCCTGCTCTTTATGGTCCTCTAGATGCTGCTGACCAAAAAAAATCTCAAAGCTTGTTCATGGGTTTAAAAAGAATTTGATTCCCTTTCTAATCAGTTATAAATACACCTTTGTGAAAATAAGTTCTGCTGAACTCAGTGAGTCTTTCTCCCAAGCAAGCATGAGTGGACCCGTGGCAAGTACAGCGACTGTTGAAATCAGGAATCTGAATTTCAGCTGTTTTAAAATCTGTAACATATTAATAAATCTACTATTTAAAATATATATTTAAACTGTCACTACAGGAGAAAATAAAAACTTTAGAAGTAAACCATAAATAATTCAGTGAGACTAGGTAAGGAGACACGTATAGCTTCCACTGTCAAGATGACTACTAGAATTTATAAACAGAGTGACCATACTGATGGTAGCTGTGATGAATTGTATTTTTGGAAGCTACCCATCTTTGTCACAAGTTCCCACTAAGCAATGAATCATCAAATCATAGAATCATAGATTGGAAGGGACTTCTGAGGTCTTCTAGTACAACCCACTGCTCAAAGCAAAAATCAAATGGCTGTCCAGTCTACTTGAAAACCTCCCATGTGGGAGCACCCATAACCCTAGGAGGCAAGCCATTCCATTTATTAATTGTCCTCACTGCCAGAAAATGTCTCCTTATTTCTAGGTTGGACCTCTCTTTAACAACTTTCCATCAATTACTTCTTATCCTGCCCTATGATGCCTTAGGCTTAGAGAATAAGTCAATCTTCTCTTCTTTATGATAGTCCCTCAAGTATTGGAAGGCAGTTATCATGTCCCCCCTAATCCTTGTCTTCAATAAACTGGACATACCTAATTCCCTCAACCATTTATCATACAATTTAGTGTCCAGATCCTTCATTATCGTTGTTGCTCTTCTCTGAATACTTTCCAGGGTCTCAACATCTCTACTGTATCATGGTGATCAGAACTGGGCAACATATTCCAAGTGTGGTCCCACCAGCACAGTGTAAACTTCTCTAAACATCTCTCAAGAGAATAAGTAGAAAGTAGACTTAAGAAACAGGATATGGAAGCTGTTTGGTACAGATTAAAAAGTATTTTAATAAAGAATGTGATAGAAGTGTTGTGAAATTACACTTACGGGAAGCATATAAAAAGAAGTGGATGATGATGAAGTGGAAAAGGCTATGGATAATTTAAAAAACAGTATGTAACAGAATGGCCATTGCTGCAAACGAGGATGCAATAAAGATATCGAACCATGTGTATGTAGAGAAAATTCTGACTGAAAGGGAACAAGAGGTGACAGAGACCAAATTTTAGGAAGTGAAGAGTGATAATGGCTAAACAAACTATGCTATTAAGAAGGAACATTAGAATAACTGTTTGAAATACAGCTTTAACTATCCTGAAGTTTTAGTTATAACATTCTAATTTTAGCCCTTTCTTTGTTCCAATTCCATTAGCAATTTCCTTTTTTTTTTTTTTTTGCTATTACAGATCTTGTGATAATAACCTTAAATATATTTCCCATTTATGAAACTCCTACTCTTACAAGATTGGTTCTTCCTAGCTTGACATTTAGTAGTTTAGCTGGACTATTCCTTCTGTAAT